AGTTATACCTACTTGGAAGAGAGGGGCGGGGTCAGCAGAGCTCATTAGCATTTAAAGCAACATGGACTTGAACGGCGTGCTGAAAACAGAGCTGATTTTGACAAGGTAATAAGGGTGTTTTTTTACACTACCATTGAGAAATTTTAACCAAAGTATGTTATAGACTTTTCATTAAGACCCTAAAGAATCATATAAACTTGTGGAAAATGGGCATCCGATGACCCCTTTAATAAACATCTAAGATTTGAATCCTTAAATGCTTTTTAAATGTGTTTTTTGGTTGTGGGACAGAAGTTTGCACCAATTCTGTAGAATGGCCCATATAAATATGGATATTTGTTTTGTACTCCATTCAGTAGAATTAGTAGTGTATATGAAACATTTCACCTTTTGAATGCAAATGTAATAACATATGGCGAAATGCATAAACAAACAGATACACACCGTGCCTGGCAAGCATCTCCAGCACAGCTCCAGCTATAGGTGAAGCAAAGCCGTCTCTCTGATCCCCCAACACTACACGGCCAACATTAAGATCAGAGACCCTGCAAACACATATAGGCCTATGTGACTTTATGTGGAAAACATTCAGTTTCTACCCTAAAATTACACTTCTTGTTGTACTTTATTCAATTAAATAAAGTAAATGTATCTATAATATATTTAAAAGTATCCTACAATGAATAGTTTCCCAATAACTTCCCTGTCATAAGAATAAAATTATTTTTAATAAATACCATACAAAAGCATGGCAGATGGGAAATATTCATAGCTAGAAAATTCTCAAATCAACCACCATTGGCACTTATGCCAAAAAGTGATTTTTGGTTACACATATGAATATAAACAAAAAAACGGTAGCTTACCCATCCACATCTTTCTGTGGCTTGATGGCATTACGGACACTTTTTGAGAGGAAGGACTGAGGAAGGTGCAAAAAAATGCCATAAACACGAGAATCCTCATTTAATCTCAAGATCTCCTCAATCGCCTGTAGAATAAAGAGGATAGTTTCGGTTTAATCAAAAAAGCTACTCTAATTTGCTTTTCAGAATTTGCAGCATCACTGACCTCTTCCTCTGTGCACTGGCGTGGAAGACAAATCTGCATAACGTTCAATCCGATCTGTGTGGATACAAAATCAGCAGGTATATATCACTGTATAAGCTATTAATTTGCATTTCCATTTATCTTATCAACAGCAAAACATCTGCTAAAATGTAATGTAATGTATAATGCAAAGATTTGTGTTACTTGCACCCATTTATTTATTGCATGTTGGACAGAAGGGAAGACAAACAGTTATACCTTTCCAGCCATCTTCTTATTCACCTCCAGCAAATCGTCATCTTCACCAGCCTTCCATAAGTAAAAGCAAACCAGCTTTTAGTGTCTGAGATACATTCACATAGCAACAGATACACACAAGTGCTCTCCAACTCTTTATCTAAACACAAAGACACACCTGTATGATAGCCAATGTAGGTTTGAGGCCTGGGTTGGTTTCTCTGATAGCTTTGAGCTCCTCTCTGCTCCTCTGAACAATGTCACTGTAAATGAGATGGACACAGAGTGCACATTTAACCATTAAGCACATATTTAATCAAAAGTAATATTATGCATGTTCATTAACTTCCACTAAGAGAACAAAACTTTTCATTGAATGTACATAAGACACATCCAATACAATTAGTACAACATTATTATTATTTTTTTTTTTACTTATCAAGCTTAAGCAGATACGCATTTTAAACAACTCTGTTATCTTTTCCTGACTGCTCTGTAGGCAAAAATCTATTTTAACCACGCATTAAACAGCACTCCATCGTTTTGCCTGCTTTTTTTGTTTTTAGTCTCTGAAACACAGACTTTGAACCTCAGATAAAAGCAGAGCATTAGCTGCAAGTTTTAGACCGAAACGTGTATCATTAATATTAACACAATGATTGCTAACATGACCAAAAAAAATGTTTTTTATACATCCACAGCCAAGTAGATCTTAAACCTCTCTAAACACTTAAACACAAGTTCTCCCTGTGCCTGGCCAGATGAGGTTTAAAACCTTTATACTGGCCACAAATCATAACAACTAGACTGGTGTCCTGTTTTTAACTATGACAGAAAGCAATAAAGGCAAAATAAATAAATAGTAATCAGTCTTGTTCACTCAGCTGATTATAATACTTTTAAGCAGGTGGGCCAACACATTTTGACTAGCAGCAGATAAACTTATCTTGTGTTATCGTGGAGTCTATTACATCACTGTAAGCATCTTTTGTAAGGCTGGCTGCAAAGGCATCTTTACTGATTATTTTAACCCTCTATAGCAGATACCTGACCTTTGACCTTTGTTTACAGACATCAAAAAGATACACTTGTATGGTTTGATTGGGCAATGATACACAAGTTCCACACAGTTTCCATCTGTTAAAGATTTTAGGGGAGACTGTTGTAACAGTTCAACGAGTGTAACTCAGTTTTTGCAAGCTTTACTATAATACCGATTTAATTAAACTAGTTGTCCTGTAAATTCTTTACATTGCTATTCTATTTCTATAGTCTTACAACAAATGTCCCAGTGGAGATGTTCGTCATGTATAACAGAGATTTCACTGGTGTAGCAGCAATATATGTTCAAAAATGGTGTTATAACTCAACCTGTGTTACAATACTCCCATGTCTTTAAAAAAAATAAAAAAAGCCTTACCCGGTTTTAAATTATGCAAAATCCAATATTACGCATAGCTACTGACTCGATGAATCTGTAAATAAAGTCAGTATCGTGATCGCCCACCAGGGGAGCGGGTTAAATAAGGGCATTCAGTGTAACACTTACCTACAAATAACATGTTTTCAACCTTAGTTCAAACAAAAGTCACTTTTTGTAAGAAAACTTGAATTCATACAGTAACACAATGTTAATATGCAACTGAATTAGCACACAACGCAGTTCGTATTAAAAGGGTGTATAGACGAAGACTAATGGGAGGCAGAAGTTACATCAGCTGGCGGCCGAACACCGGTAGCACGTGGAAACAAATAAACGCCAAGACAATATAACGTTAGATATTTTAGTCAAGTCGCTATAAATACAGAACCAAACTGTTACAATCACAAAAGTCATTCAGCGTGTTTTAGAAAATAAAAGTTTTGTCGCATTTAGGTTTAGAGCCTTAATAGCGTGTTTTATTCTTACCAAACAGCACTTTGATACAGCGGTCCATCGTTTTTTCGTGGATGACTTTTAAAACTCGTTACCGTTTCACTTGTACCGCTGGTCGAACTAGCTTCCCGAACCCATGGATGAGAAACCGCGCTATTATCGGATATGCGTCTGTTCTCCGAGTTTAATACTTTAACACCCGCTCGTGATCGTCGAATGCTGGCGTGGCTAAGATGTGCATGGCGAAAAGCGACCGACAGTCTCATCTTTCCCCGAGAAAACGTCCACCGGGTCTGGAGTCTAAACAGAGATTGTCGTGTCTGATGCTCAGGTGATCTCGAGCAGAGCTGGACTAGCGCGTGCGCTGCAGCCAAGGAGGAAACGTCTGAATAATTATTACAAGTCTGAGCACGACGAATGACTCACATGGCATTGGACAACTATTTTCGTAACCTTATTTTCTCTTTCTTTACAAATCCGTATTGGCCTATCTAGATCCAGCAGTCACATTCATGTCATGAGCTTTGTGTTTGCAAGTTTGAGTCTACAGCAGCCTGTACACTACCATTCAAAAGTTTGGAGTCTTACAATTTAAAACACCTGTTTTCTATTTAATATATTTTCAAATGTAGGTTACACTTTATTTTAAGGTGTCTTTGTTACAGTGTAATTATACATTTAAGTACTGAGTAATATTAATGAACTACATGTACTTACTATATGGTTAGGGTTTGGTTTAGGGTTACGTGCATGTAATTATGCATAATTAATTGTTATTATAATAGCAAGAACATGTAACATGTATAACAAGGACACCTTAAAATAAAGTGTTACCCATACGTATTTTTAGATTGAAAAGATTAATTTTCATCAGCCATTACACAAGTCTAAAGTGTCACATGATCTTTCAGAAATCATTCTAATATGCTGATTTGCTGCTCAAGAAACATTTCTTATTATCAATGTAGAAAACAGTTGTGCTGCTTAATGTTTTGTGGAAACCGTGATAATTTTTTTATATTCTTTGATAAGTATAGAGTAAAAAAAATTTCAAATAGCATTTATTGGAAATAAAATCTTTCAAACAATTATTTGTGTTTACTGTTACCTTTGATTAATTGAATGCATCATTGCTTAATAAAAGTATCAATTTCTTTCAAAAAAATAAGTCCTACTGACCCCAAACCTTTGAACAGAAGTGTATAGGTGAATAGGTATCTTCCTGTTTATTCCATGTTTTTTATGCATCACCGTACATAACACAGTTGTCCCTGGAACAACATTTTAACAAAGTATTATATAGCAATGTCATTGTAGCAACTTTTTTTTTTACCAAAGTCAGAAAGGTTTTTGGTATCCTGGCATGTGTTATTTTAATAGTTGTGACCAGGGGACATCACGTTTCACACGAGGTAGGCACATGGGATCTAATTAGGGTAACAAAATTACACTCTAATTTATGACATATGCTACAAAACTTTGAATGAATGCACACCAAATGAGATACAGCTGATAAAAGATTTGTGTACACACTACACATGAAATAGTTGGGGTCCATTACAACTAACCATCATCCAATACCTAACTTAAAAATATAGTTATATTGACAAGATACATTTTACATAAGAATAAACACTTGATGAAGTGCAAACCACAGAAAAAAAGGATTTCCAAATCCCCAAAGTCACAAAATGAGTTATCTGCCAAAACTGCAAGCTTTAAAAATGCATGTTTATAATAAACAAAATGTAAGTATTTAAGATAATTCTGGTGTCAAAAAAACCCACAAACTACTGAAATATTTATAACACTGATAGATTTATTTCAGCGATGTGTGTTTATTTTTCTTCAGAAGATGAATATAAATTTGCCTAAATAAGGAATAGGAATATAAAAACTAACATAAACAAAAAAACCTGAATCACTTAGTATGCATTTTTGACATTGTGATATCTGTGCCCATGTCATCGTTTCCAGAAGAACATTTTCTTAAACGGATTGTTCCTGTCATGTCTCTTGGCTCGCTCCAGCTTCACAAGGACATCCCTGACCTCCACCTCAGTTGACTGAACATTGGTGTGAATGTAGTCTATCATTGAACTCTGCTCTTCTACCAACATGGCCACATCCAGAAAAACCTCATGAAGGCTCTGAATGCGTCTCTCTAGCTGTAGCAGTTCTGTATGTCGGCTCTCGATCTGGATGAGTGCAGACCGTGCCGTTTTACCTTCTGAAACCATGTTCTCACTGAAGACGTTCCACTGACCGCTCTCCAACATCTCTTCGATCTGGTCACCTGTGACCTCTCGGCCCACAATCTCCATCTGCCGTTGAATATACGCCTTGCAGGACTCCCTATGGCTCATCTCAGCGTCATTGTACTCCACCATGGCATCACGGAAACTGTTGCTTATGCTGGCGTACTGTGTTCGGGCGATTCTCGTCATGGGTGAATTGACGCCATACTTTTCCTCTAACTCTTTCCTGTGGGAATCCATCTTGCGAAGGTGCACGAGCATCTCCTGTCCACGTGTTTTGATGTCAGCTGCAATAGCATTAGAGTCACAGGTATTAGAAGCACTAGAGCAGACCGTGCCTGTAAAAATATGTGAGTTTCGCTCCCTGAGACGCTTTACTTCCAGGTGGATGTACTGAATCTGACGACGAGCCTCCTGTGCCTCATCAAAGACAGCTTCCATGTCAGGGTTGGTGCTGAGGTCCTGAGGAGGGTCATCATAGTCTGTGTTTTCTGATGGAGAGAGCGCTTGGGCAGTTTCATGTTCTGTTGCAGTGCCATTAGACAGTGATACTGCCTGGAGATGTCCAAGTCTGTCCCTCATGACTGAAATATTGGACTGAAACGTTTAAAACAGATTTGGTCTAAATTCATAACAAAGCGAACACACATAAACAGCAGCCGGTAAAATATACAGTAGGCTATATATGGGTAACAACAACAAAAAAACAACAACTCTTGAACAGAATATACCTTGTTAGACGTAACCCACACGTCAAAACGTCCGACTTGTGGAAAAGTACACTTGTGTCACTAAAAACCTGTCAGACAAGATAGACTTGTTTGTAGGTCCACATTTAAAAATAAAAGCTTTGTTTTACTCTCATTACGTTTTCTATTAGACTCTGCTTCATCATTATGCATTTTATAAAATTTGAAGAGAAGGCAAAAACTGCATTTTTATGTATTTACTTATACTCAATAAATAAAGAAAAAAGAGTCTATTGATTTAGTACATAAAAAAACAAACAAATATTATCCCAAATACGTACAATCAGACTTGATATAGGCATCGCATCAGTGGAGAAAATGTTTTAAACTTTTTAATTAAACCTGACCTACGTTTAATGCTTGGCAAAACAATTAGCCTTCTCTGCTTTGAGCAATATTATCATTGTGGCCTACCTCAAATTATGACCTTCTCTGTGCATTCCTTGCAAAATCCGTTTTGCAGGTTACGAAAATCACGCTATTATCAAAAATAAAAACCACATTTACCTAATTTCACCTCTTCTCGTCCCACACCGCATGTGAGTGATGACGTAACACACAGACCCCACCCCCCAAGTCAGGTGTGAAGAGATCAGTATGTCCGACAGAGGGCAGCAGAGATTAGACATTTTATTTGCGAAAAGTGCTGAGGGAAGTACAGAACACGTGTACTCAACGTTCTTTCTGATTGTAAATAAACCAAACTCATTTTTTGTCACTGTTAATGGATGTAGGCTACATTTGAAGTCTACTGCAGTTGCGGTGGTCGTGTTGTTTAACGTACAGAGAATAGACAGAATTTAGACAGGCAAAGAAAACAGAAGAAAAAAAAAACATATTTAGTATAAACAACCAATATGCACATTCTCCGACCAGTTGGTTATTATAGGCTAATAATCTAATTGATTATTACAATTAATAATTAATTATATTTATTAGAAGAAAAATATTTGGTATTCTGTTTTGCCCTCTGCTGTTGTTTTTTTTTTTTTTTACATTTTAGTGAAGAAGATTTAAATTTAATCATTCAATCATCTACTTTCTGTCAACTATAATCTATTTCCATTGTCAATACACTTACTAAATTGAAGCTCGAAGTTGCTCAGACTTTTGAATCCTTGACTTTGCAAACATTTTTGCATGTCAGGGCCCAATATTAGGCTACACACATTTTTATTAAATTGTATTATATGACATGGAAAACATGAAGAAGGCATCGTACTCGGTCCCATTTCGCAAAACAGAGCGAACAGGTTTGGCGTCAAAGTTACGCCCTGGAACGCGCATTCCTTTCCCCCACCCATTAATGACAGCTGCACCAGTGCAGTGAGGATGGAGCTGCAGCCTCGAGATGACATATCAACAGAAGTGGTCGTAAGTTTGGACAAAAAGCCAAGGTAATGTACTTTGTAGTATATGCCAAGGAGTTTCTTTCTTTCTTTCATCTTTTTTTCAGCTCATCGCTTCTACTTTACGGATTTATGGATAATTATTCCTATAATAGGCCCTATATATTCGTTAGAATGTTGTCAGTGTAAAAATGTAAAATGCTTGAAAAAAATTTTTTATTTAATAGCTCGAATAAAGTTGGATATTTTGGATATCTTATTTATACATTTCATATAAAACAATTGAAGAGAACACCATATGTAAAGAAACAAAAGCTGAACTATCAATTCAATCCATTCAAACTTGTTTGGTGAGTGACGCCAGTCAGAAATAGTTTCACAGATGAACTTGTTAGACTTGTGACTTCTTCAGGGTTGATAAGGAAGCATTATCTCCCCCTTTTACAGTCAGTTTCAAAAGGTACACAAGGAATGAAAATGATTTTATTCTTGAAAACAAGGACTACGTGATGTAAATATGAACGTTATCGATATGCTATATTGTTTTAGATCGTTTACATCAGATCACATATTTCCTATCACTTCTGGTGGCACTGAGTGTCCTTTTCCGTTCATTCTCCCCTCTAGCAATCATGAGGGACAGATTGGATCATCTTCAGACCATTTCAGAGTCTAATAGCCAGCTAGAGGAGGTGGAATCAGACTCTTTCAGCAATGTGGACCTGGAGGAGGATTTCAGCCAACAGGCAGTCATTTATGACAACAGTGATGAGATGGACTCTGTGCTCGATGAGGCTCAAGACACTAGACGTGAGATTCAGTTCATCCGCCTGGAGGTGAAGCGTCTCAGGGACCAAAACACACGTATACTTAGCGAACCAACTCGTACAACTCACGTAAAGCAGGATGCCAGTGTCATCGTAGGAGACATCAAGACCCGTGGACAGGACGTTCTGGCACGTCTACAAAAAATGGACGCCCACGCCAAAGAGCTCGAAGAGGAGCATGGCCTCAACTCAGCTGTGGCGAGAATTGCCCGAACACAGTACGCCACCCTAAGCAACAACTTCCGAGATGCAATGACAGAGTACAATGATGCTGAGATGGATCACAAAGAATCGTGCAAGCGTCATATTCAAAGGCAAATGGAGATTGTGGGCCGAGACGTGACAGGTGACCAGATTGAGGAGATGCTGGAGAATGGTCAGTGGAACATCTTCAATGATAACGTCATGTCAGAAGGGAAAACGGCTCGTTCGGCGCTCAACCAGATCGAGAGCCGACATCGTGACCTGCTGGATTTAGAAAGCCGACTCCAGAGCCTTCATGAAGTGTTCCTGGATGTGGCTATGCTTGTAGAGGAACAAGGACCCATGACAGACTACATCTTAAACAATGTTCAGAAAACAGATGCTATGCTTGGCGAAGTCCTTATCAAACTGGGACGGGCCAAGAAACATGACAATAACAACCCATTCAAGAAAATGTTCTGTGGATGCTTTCCATGCGCTCAAATCTGATGAACAGTGAGGAGTTGTGCATTGGAGGGCACATTTTAAAAATGGGTAAAGTCAAGAGATATGTTGAGAAAAGGACCATAGTTTTCCAAAACTAAGCTCTCTTGAGTGATCATTAAACCTGATGCTACTGAAGTGAACAATAACATATGAGAGCAAATTAAACAACTAAAACAAACCAAAGAAAGACAGTCTGCACAACTTCACAACATACAGTCCTTACTATTTGCCTTCATAAAAAAATGCCTTTTCATTTGCAGTTTGATACTTGTAAACACATACTGTAAATGCTAGAAATTGTGTAATATTGCAACATATGCATAGGCTATAATTTATTAACATAATTTACACTATTATATCTTTCATCATTCTAATGGTTGAACTAAATATGCACTTTCTAGACCCTTTTACATTAAATAATCCGGACTATGAAGCATTTGCCGTGTTTTGCCATATTTTCAGTGCAAGTTGATCACTGTTTTTTCAGTCAATTAGTTTTTCTGAAGCAATATCAGCTAAATAAAAGATATATAATTATATATAATTATATATCTTATATAATTCTTACTTGCTTTGTCTTTATTATTAAATTAATTGCATGTGGCAAAATGTTTGGGTCTTTATGACATTTCAAATGCAATTAGTATACTGGATTATCAGAAAATATTCTTGTTGATAGGTATGCCAACAATACATTACAAATTTTAATTAATTATTTTTTAATACATGTGGCTATTCTTTCATCTTTAGGAGTCAACTGGGTATATACAATATCAACAAATTTTTTCACCTTTTTGTACACCGTGGATTTTATTACACATGAAACAACAGGGAAACTTTTTAGTTTGCCTTAGCTAGAATGAGGAAACATAAAATAACACTCTAGGGTTTTTAAGTAATTTAAGATAAATGTGTTGACATTGACATTTTGATTGCCTTGTCACATTATTATATGAATTAGAAATTTTACTTTGCTTGGACTGTCGACTATTTTTAAAAGCTTACAGATTTTTAAAACTATTTGGATATAAAATGTCACATGAGGAACATTTCCTTGTTCCTGAAAAAACCATACGTGCCACAGATGTGATCTACTGTTTATGGAAAACCATCATTTATTTACATTTACATTTAATCATTTAGCAGATGCTTTTTTCCAAAGTGACTTACAAATGAGGACAATAGAAGCAATCAAACCAACAAAAGTGCAACAATATGTAAGTGATGTGACAGGTCCCGGATGGTTTCCCGGAAGTTTTTTTTGTCTTTTTTAATAATAAATATAAAATACAAAGAATAAAGCATAGAAATCGAATAGAGAGAGCTTGTGTTAGAGGGTCATGTTGTTATTTTTTATGATAAATAAAAATAAAACAAGTAGATAGAATAGATCATGATCCATGCTACCGTGTTTTGATGATTGCACTGCAAGCCTGTTTAAAGGGGTCATATGACGTTGCTAAAAAGAACAATATTTTGTGTATTTGGTGTAATGAAATGTGTTTATGCGGTTTAAGGTTCAAAAAACACATTATTGTTTCTCCTCTATGCCCCGCCTTTCTGAAACGCGTCGATTTTTACAAAGCTCATCGGTCTGAAAAGCGAAGTGTGCTCTGATTGGCCAGCTATCCAGTGCGCTGTGATTGGCCAAATACCTCAAGCATGTGACGGAAATGTTACGCCCCTTACCATACTGTGATGCCGTGTCCCAGCCGGAGCGACAAGACAAAAACATTAAAACCCATTATAAACGATTCGTTGCATCCAGTGGGACATAATTACGGATTATAATGACTTATACTGTCTTTTTACGTGTTGCATTGCATCGCGCCACATAAACATAAAACCATATCTGCATTTGTGATCGGAGAAATCACAAACAACAAGCGCTACTCTACACTGCTCAAAACTCGCGTTTGAATCGTCAGTGGCAAATTCTTTAAATATAAAAAACGTACTTACAGTCTGTGAGTCAGAACAGCCGGCATTGTAGTCTACTCTACCAGGAAACAGTCCCTTCTTTCTTTGCGTGAACATTTGGGCGGCGTTATGCAAATCTTCCCACATCGTGACGTAGACATGTGGGGGCGTTAGAACGAGCCGTTTTAGGTAGGTGTGGCTGACTCTTAACTTTTATAAAGAATATCTTTGGATTTGAGACTTTAGTCTTTGCAACTTTACAGATCTTCTTTATGTACCAAGAGCTTGTAACACTCCAAAGAGAAAGGAAAAACTTTAATCGCATCATATGACCCCTTTAACCTTTGTCCATGCCAAGAACCGCACACTTGGACAGGATGTGCCCCTCTGATCAGTATGTAAAGAACATGAGCATGAACACTGAAGGAAACATAATGGTGTGACCTGTGGTGTCGCTAGGATTTCTGGGTCCACTGCAATGATTTTTTCTGGGCCTCCTCAAAATCACGTTCAGGGGGGTGGGGGGATTCCAACCCCCAGAGAACATTGTTCTGGGCCCCTCCCAGCAACACCCCTGGGTGTGACCATGAATGTGTTGATGGCTCACTGTACCATAAATCTTTCACAATATAGCATGTAGAATCTGTACAAACATAAATAATCAATTACACAAAAATCAACATTTCCATCCATTTAATAACATTAGACATTATTG